CTGCTGGACAAAGACCCCTTTCCAGCCTGGATAGGTAGCTATCACCCCCACCCCATCTTCAACCAAGGACTTGGACTCTGCTTCTCTTCCCTACCTGGACTCCAGCCCTTCCACTGAGTCTCTTTCTCCTGCTGCCATTGTGAGTGGTTGTGTGTGTGTGTGTGTGTGTGAACCAATAACTTCATGGGGCTGTGTAGTGTGTTGTCTGTTTAATAAACCTGTTATTTGGACCCCTGAGTTGGGTTTTGCTTTACTGTGGTTTGACCCTGCTCCAATCTCTGCTCCTTGCCCCTCTAACTTCTGTCTCATTTCTCCCTCTCCTGCTTCTGGCTCTCTGCCACCTCCAACACCAGCCCTGAGCTCCTCTCTGCCTCCAAACCCCCTGTTTCTTTGCCACTGTCTTATCCTCACTGCCTTTTCCTTTTTCCCCGAGCAACCAGGGTTATGCCTCAGTTTCTTTCCTGGCTGTCTCCTCCTTGCCACCACGTATCTGCCCCTCGCCCTGCAATATCTCAGCTATCTGCCTCAGTTTCCAGCCCCAAGCTCCCAGGTTTCTGTCTCTCTCTCTTTCCTGGCTGTCTTCCCCTTGCCACCAGGCTTCTTTTTTTTTCCCCCTCCCATGCACCAGTGACCTCGAGTAACCCTGGTGCCACTTGATCTTAAATAAATCCAAGTCTCAGTTCCTCAGTCAGCTTCTCTCTAGTCCACCAGTTCTAATCCTGGTTCTGGCAACTTTCACTCCCTACACTTTAACTCTCTTCTCTCACCTTAACCTTCCCCCAAGTATCCCAGGAACCCCAAGCACCCACATACATACCGAACCATCCACGTTAGGAACACATACATACCGTACCATCCAAGTTAGGAACTTACCTATATGTAGGTGGGTTGTATGTATGTGAACTGGTGAGTATGTGTGTATGTGTATAGATAGATATATCTATATCTATATCTCATTGTGTGCATGATAGATGAAGTAGTGATCTGTGTATGTGTACCGAGTGTGCGGGTATTGACAATTGATTTTTGTCTAATTTTTAGTGTGTAGTGTGTATGTGCTTGGATTGGTGATAGGTATGCATGTGCCTAGGCTGCTTTGGATGTGTATGTGCCTGAACTGGTAGTGTGTGTATGTGTGTGTATGCACCTTATTGATTTGTGTGTTTGTATATGTGCAATTGTGTCACATTCTCCTGTCTAAGCGCAATATTGAGATCCTGAGAGTTGACCTGACCTCACAGGGCAACACTCCTGTTATTGACACAAGATATTTGCATTTACAGTTTCTTATATTTTAAAAACAAATGTTAATTTACAGCTAAAACAATCATTCCCACCTAAGTCTTTCTTTTGCTTGGTCTGGAGCCAAAAATAATGGATTGCAATGCATATTTTACACCACTAACTATAGCTTGTGATATGTTGAGGGCTCTCAGACTTATTTCCCAGCCCAGTCATTTTGAGTGAAACAGATAATGAAATCAGTAAGTTTAAATATGTTCAGTTCAATGTTCAGATTGAGTCCTCTAAAGAATTCTCAATTTTAAATATTTATATTTACTCCTCTTGTACCAAAGTGCAATAAAGGATGTTAAATAAAGGACAATAGAGGATGTTATCTATAATAACAGACCTATTGAATTCACGGTGGAAGTAGGGTCACTCCTTTAATCTTGCATGTTCCCCTATGTGCACCTGACCCCTTGTCACCCCTATTCCCTGCTGCTGAATAGTGGAGGACCCCGCCACTCCCTCCTGATCAACAGGGAAACTAAAACTGTGGTTTTAAACTGGAATTATTTTTGCCTCTCCAGCCATCAGCAGCAAACAGCAGGGCCATCTGGAGCCCCTCAGCCAACCAGTGGTGAGAGGCAAAAATGGTGCCATATTTAAAACTGCAGTTTTTGCCTCCCTGCTGATCAGGAGTGAGCCAAAAGCAGGTCTCCTCCACCAGTTGCAGGGCATGTGGGAGAACCTGCAAGATCATAGGAGCCACAGCATACCCCACTTCCATCATAAATTTGATAGGTCCCTACCTAGAAAGGTCTTGTGTGAAGTATTATTTTGTGTAAGCTGTTCTTGTATGTAATTCATCTGTCTTGAAGATTATAAAAGTGATTTATAGCGTATAGGAAGTCACTGTATTTGTAGAGTTTAGAGCTCAAAAGGTAACTAGTTTCTTATCTCACAGGCTTATATGTCATATACTGATAGAAATGTTTGAGAAACCTTTGTCTTTTTTTTTAACATAGGATGTGAAAGCTATAGTAACCCACTCAATTCACAGTGCAATTCATTCGATTGGAGGGATTCAGGTTCTTTTTCCTCTGTTTGCTCAATTAGACAATCGACAGCTACATGACAGTCAAGTAGAAACAACTGTCTGGTAAGCTTTGTTTAATCAAGTTCTTATATCAGTAAAATAAGCTAGCAACATTTTAGTTTCTCTTGTGGTAAGTTGTTAAAATAAATGCTGTAACTTGTGCTGTTTGTGTACTGTTTTTGAACTAAAATAAATATGATTTTAAAGGTGCTTATCATTGATCTGTAAGACATTACCTCCTTAAGAAGTTTTTTTTAAGCCATAGGGAATTAAGTAGAAAAATTAAAATAATTTACTACCTTAAGTACTGAGTTTAGATGGACTCAGAATATGCAATCTCAGTGGTGAAGTTTTTAAATTTTGACCAGATGTGTAAATATTTTATAATGCTATAGATTTTTCTTAATCAAGCTTCTCTTTAGTTCACTTTTTATTCTAGTTCAACTCCAAATTAATAAAGGACATTGCTTCTGTAGTAACAATGCTATGTAAGAAGTTGCAGGGTTGCACTGAGTTAGGGTATGTCTACATTGTAGTATTGCTGTGATTTCAGTTCTTTTTCGACATACCCAAGATACTTTAAAGCAAAATGGCTTAAAGATTTAAACTAACTCAGGTTGTGAAAGCACTATGGCTGTGGTTACATAGAATTTAGTATAGGTTGTAAATTGTAGAAGCTGGATACAGGCTTGTATAATTAGTCAGCTTAGAACTGCTAAACTTCTGTCAATTCCTAAGCTGAAATTTAGTTAATTTCTGTCTATCTACCTGAGCTGCAGTAACTGCAGTTAAGAAATCAGTCTGTTGAAGGGCAACATGCTCCCGCAGGATGGGGTGTTTATCTAGTGCTGCAGGAGGAGCTATGAGTTATTGAGAATGATGGATGTGACCCAGTGGTGGTTCACATGAGGAGGGTAACAGAAGCAGGGTGTAGTAAAACTGAAAAATATTCTTTGAGATTCTCCTTTGTATTTGTCCATGTATAAATTATAGAGAAATGAGCAACTGGTCCCAAAGGACCTTCTAGAAAGCAGTGTTTTATTGTGTCAGTTTAAAATCTCCCTCGTTGCTTTGAATTCTATTTTTAAAAGGACTGCGCAATGCAAACCAGTTTATTTTCATTTTTATGGCTAGTTCTATGCCAGGCATAAGGGAGGGTGATTCTTCTACTTAGAATGAGTATTTGTATTCTGGCTTGTATATTGCAGTAATTTTGGGTAGTTTGTAGGAAGTGTATTAATTGTTTAGCTTTTTGTACTATTGTGATTTTATGATCCTTAGATACAGTAACTTTTTTGACATTAGAATGTATGGGAAATGCGAGATTTTTAGTTGCTTACAAATTCATTGATATTTTTAAAAGAGTGGTAAATGGAAGAGGTGTCATTATTGAAGTTACTAAAACTTTTGAAAAAAGTGAAAAAAAAAACATTTTGCATTCATCTCAGTCTACATATTGATTTCTCTTCCCCCCCCCTGCACCCAGTTATACACAGGCAGAGAGTCTGTGAAATGAAATTGCTTTTTTCATTTTAATATTACTAGTTAACCTAGTCTTGTGAAATTGTGGCAAATTGTGTGTTCCCTTAGAGTGACACAAACATTCTAAAAACTGCATTGAAAATTCACATTTTCTGTGTGTATTCTCAAATGAAATGTTATAACTAATGCCTACAGTTCTCAAAAAATAACTATAATTGTTTGTTGCCTGCATATTGATTACTCTTTTTTTTTCACCGAAGTTATACACAGACAGAGAGCTTGTCTTTGCTTTGAAAGATACTTTTTTGATGCTTACACAATTTCAGTATGATCTGAAGAAACCTACATTTTAGCTGCTCTAAGGGAGAAACTTACATTTTAGTAAAACTATTGCTCAGGAGAGCTCATCAGCTGTTTTGATCTAACTCATGTCTGTATGATCCTAAAGTGTAACCTGTTAGCTAATCACTCGGACTCTGAATGAAGAAAGATAAACTTGAAGTGCTTTTGCTCCGTTTTTATTAGTGCAGAATCATTCAAACATTAACAGTTGCATTGTAATAGTTTATATCAATATCCTTTAATATAGATACATTTATCACATTATTTCTTAAATATGCATATATCTGTGACTTCAGGGGCATAGAAGCAGACAAAATTAATTGGTGCAGTTAGGGAAGAGCATGCATGAGTTATTTCTCTCTCTCTCTCTTTGTGCTGACTTAATGGTCCACCCATTAAACAAATGAGTTTGTAAAGAGTGAAAGAATGAATTATTGACTTTTCTATTTGAAGAAATACAGTGAGATTTAAATATAAATTTTAGAAAGACTAATGATCTCTCTAATTCTTTTTTTACTCTGTGGCCTTTCTTGTGAAAACATCCACAAAAATAACTTTAGAATACAGAGACCATTCTATGGAGTTAGCTGAACTTCAGCAACATTAAAGCTTTCTCTGCTTCAGTCAAGCGCTGCACTTCCTGCACTTCCTTCACAAGCTGAAGCTCTTATGTAATCAGATTATTATTTATTAATTTCTAAACAGGATCTGGGATTCACCATATTTAGCATTGTACTATATACTATATCAAGAGAAAAAACCTTGCTTTGAAGAACATATATTCTAAAAGACTAGACTGATGAATTGGGGGAAGAGATGTAACATAAAAACAAATTATTAAGGTGGACGCTGGCATATACTATATATTCAGTACTTATCTTTTTATTTTTGATAGTGCAGAGATAGAATGAGACTTTAGACTTTTATCAGAAAAGGGAGTTAAAATAAACAAGGAAGCAGGAGAATAAAAATTAGGGAAGAAAGGACTTTGACTGGCATAGAAAGAAGGTCATAAAAGAAAGGAGCAAAGAAGGGAAAGATGCAGAGGCATTGAGGTTATGTAGACCATGGTTTGCTGTGGGAGAACAGGGATGAAGATGAGAGGTGCCTTTATCTAATCAGCTATTTTAGACTTTTCTTATTTTATGTATTTTATTAGTTGAAACATGTCTATTCCACCCCTTTCATTTTTCAAAAGTTATAATTGCACTTCCCAATATTCCCTTTTCATACCCTTTATCACTTTTTGTTTTTAAATGCATTTTAAACAATTTTTAAATTTGTTAATCTATAAATATATAAAATTATCTCTCTATAGATATAGGAAGGTTCCATATAGTAGTCTTCTTTATACAATCACTTTTTTGTATTTGAATACTATTATTAAATAGCACCCTGGTTTTCTCTTCTCTGGACTAAGGCTGCATACACACAATCAGCTGACCAGGAAGAATGCTTCTGAGTTTATTTTCCTGGTAGGTAGAAGAACTTACCCAGAGAACCCTAAACAGACATTTGAATGCTGAGCTTCTAAAGAGCAGAGACCTTGCACAGCAGCTGATCAGCCAGGAGGGGCCCTGTGCATGCGTCTCTATGGATTCTGCTGGCTCTCTTAGTCTGCTTTGAGACATGAGCACTAGTCAGCCTGTGGATTGCTGCAGTTTAATGTGGAGACTGTGAGAACATGTTCTGCTCCTTGCTCTGTTGGAGAACTGTGCTGTGGCTTCAATCAGAAGGGAACATGTGCACAGACTCTTGCTCTCCCAGGAGCAATTTAACCCTGTTTGTTCCTAGGTTGTTATTTTTCTGGAGCAGCCGTTTTTGCTCTGGGAGTAAAATCCTGAATATCTGTATACAGGCAGTCCTCGACTTATGACTTTTTGAGTTATGACAAACAACATTTACGACTTTTATAAATTGGCAACCTATTTTGAGGTTCCTGTGCCGGTTTCACTTTTACAATGGTTGACACAGCTGCGTCCAGCTGGTAAGTCTGTTGTGGTGGTGTGGAGGGAAAGGGGGGTTGGGGGGGAGATCAAGGCCCCTGCAGTGAGGGAGGGATTGGGGCTGGGGCTGGGACCTGGGTTAGGGCAAGCACTGCTCAGGGAGGTGGTGGGGTGACTCGTGCCACTGCACACTATGGGTCCAGGAGCTGCTTGTGTGGCGGCTTGTCTGGTGGCTCTTGCTGCTGTTCCCATTGCTGGTCTAGGAGGGCGTGGGGTGCAGGCATGTGCCCAAGGATCTGCGCAGGGTGGGTGGGGCCAGGACTGCACCGGGCTGCACTCCAGGTGGAAGGCAGCCTGTGTCCCCAGCTGCTTGCCCAGCCCAGGTGGGGCCACCGGAAGCCTGAGCCGCTGCGCTGCCCCTGGACAAGTCCTGGTGCACAGCAGCGGGAGCCAGCTCAGCCTCCCTGCACCTCCCAGATGAGCAGAGGCTTTGCCCTGGCAGGGTGCCACCTGAAAACTCGCTGCAACCTTCCCATAAGCCCCTCTCTGCTGCCTGCCCTGCCCTGATCCAAAGGCATCCCCCCCCAATGCCCTGCCACTGCTTGCCCAGCCGGGGCGAAGCCACTGCTCATTTGAGTGGTGAGAGGAGGATGGGTTGGCTCCTGCCACTGCATGCTGCTTGTCCAGAGGCAGCACAGCAGCTCAGTCTCATGCTGGCTGCGAGCGGCAAGGGGGGCATAGCCCCCGCTCCCAGCGCCTTCCACCTGGAGCACAGCCCAGTGTAGCCCTGGCCCCATCCGCCCTGTGTAGGTCCTGGGGCACATGCCTCCACCTCATGCCCTCCCAGACTGCTGGCGGGAGCAGCAGCTCCTGAACCGGCAGCACGCAGCAGCATGAGCCACCCCACCCCCTCCCTGGGCAGTTCTTGCCCCAGCCTGGGTCCTGGCCTCAGCCCCAATACCTCCCCTGCTGCGGTGGCATTGATCTGCCCCCCCCCAGCCTCTTCTCTTCACCCACCACATCAGACTTACCAGCTAGAGACAGCTGTGTCAACTGTCAAAGGAACCAATCCCCCATTTATAACATTGTTCCTATGGAAAAATTGAATTGACTTAAGACTCAGTTTTCAGGAACCAATTGTTTTGTAAGTCTGAGGACTGCCTGTACTTGTGGTTATTCCTGGGAGAGCAGTGATTCTTCCAGTATAAACTGAATGTCTGTACATGACCTAAATCAGCTCATTTCTTCATACCTTTTCTCATACATTGCATTTTCAAAATATTTAGTAATTTT